AAGAGAAAACATAGGATACTGACTTTTTTCTTGCACTGTACACATAGTATGTACCCTTTAAATTGAAAGAAAAACAAATAAAAACAAAAAACATCAATACCAAATATATAAAAATATCAAGACCTCTTTTAAACAATGAAAAGTCCCCTTTAAAATAAGGAGAGCTCAAATAATGACCTGAAAACTACAGTAAGAAGAAGAAGAAGAAGAAGAAGAAGAAGAAGAAGAAGAAGAAGAAGAAGAAGAAGAAGATGGACCTTTACTTATAGCCTACCTTAATATTAATCCACACAATTTAAACACTTTCAAATTTCTTTGGCAACATTTCGATTTCCCACCCCTTTAACTAGGTTAATTATGTTATGCTCTGAACGCACATTGGGCTCCCATCATTAGAAGAGCAATATCACAGAAATTCACACATGAGTAACTCACGGTTTGGTTTCAATCCTTGAGAAAAAGTTTGGAGTCCGAAAGAAGAACCAGCAGGCAGTGGCGATAAAGAACAAAAAAAAACACGTAGGCCTATGGCCATTTCTGTGTAGCAGTGGCGACTTTTGATCCAGCAATTAGACGTTAGCAGTTACTAACTGTTAGCAGTTACTAACTGCTAACGCCAGTTAGTCGACGTTAGCTTAGCAGTGAGTCGACTTTAGCTTAGCAGCTAGTCAACGTTAGCTTAGCAGTTAGCACAGACACACTCAATGATTTCACCCTAATCAACTGATATTTAACAAGAAGTGTGTGTCCTGGTCTACTGAAAACAGATTTCTTCTGTTTGGCTACATATTTACCAGGCTAAACTACCCTGGTGTTTTACATAATGGATGTAGGCTACATCACAGCATGTAGGTTGCAAAAGTCTCACGGCATTTCGTGTTATAGTCACAACATTAATCTATTGATTCGTGTTCACCAACACAATTTCGCCATTTTTTTCGTGTCACACAGAACGATTTTAAAAGCAATGTAAATAATAACAAATTTGAAGGAAAAACAGATTAAAATAAATACAGATTTCAGTATTCTGACACAGAACAAATTTAGAAGCTTCGTGCCTGCACCAAATAATAACAAATTAGAAGGAAAAAAAGATGACAACAAATACAGATTTCAGTATTCTGAGGCTCTTTTGCCACATTTATACATGTACATTATACAATTTAAAATAAAAGGGATAGGGTTAGGCTTGGGGTAAGATATTGAGTAAGAACATGTTTTTATAAACCATACAGCTTCTGGTCTTCCAAGACCCGACCGGACAAAAATACCTGGTGCAGGCATGAAACATACTACCAATAGAAATACATTGCTTTTAAAATCGTTCTGTGTGACACGAAAAAAACGTTGGTGAACACGAATCAATAGATAAAATGAATTTCGTGACTATAACACGAAATGCCGTGAGACTGGGTTGTGTAGGCTTACTCCTGTTTTTTTCCCTATTTCTTTGTGTTTTCTTTCACCCTCCCTCTTCCTGACCTACAACCAATTATCACAGGCACTAACTGGTCCTGACAGGAACCAATCATCAAAATAGCTGAAACTAAATGCACAATTAGTGTATTTTTATAGTTCTCCGCACTGTTTGCCTTCCCATTTGTGTTCAATTATTATCATTATCATCAGTTAATCACATTAGGCCAAATCAGTTAACTTGCCTTGCCGGATTATTTTCCTGAAGTGTGTTTATTTGTTTTAATCCATTACATTACCCCACTACACATAATATTGTAGATGTTTGGAGAGTTGGACTATTAAAAGTAGACCTATGCAATTCTGGTATTCACTTTTAAGAAGTGAAGTATGGACAATTACAACATTTTAATCTTATTCTCATACAACATTTTACACAACCAACACTCAAAGGAGGAGAAAAATAAAAGGTCTTTCTCTCTCGTTCTGTAGATCTGCCAATTGGATACCATTCCTTGGCCTCCAGACAGTGTGGATGTGGGAGAGAAAAGAAAACAAGTTGGGAAGTAACAGACAGTGAGCGAAAGAAAGACAAAATGAAGAATGACCGGATAAAGGATTTGTAACTGAAACAGAGAACAAATCTACAAGATAAACTTCAACACTGAAACCCCCTTTCCCACCCTGAAGTATAACATCTCATCACAGATGCTGGCCTGATTCCTAAAAGTCCCTTTTAACAATTGATCTATTTCTCCTGTAACAGATTAATATACTGTCCTTTGCACTCCCTGTGTCCGTTAAACTTGGTCTTGAAATGAATTTGCTCACCAAAGCTTTCATCCCTCCACCTCTCTTCTGTCTCTTTCGATGGTTAAATGTTTGAGAGATTGCTAGCTGTGGCAGTGAAGCATACTGACAATGGGAGGCAGAAACTGAGGTCTTGCATGATGGGTGGTGGGGGAGACAATTGCTCTATGTTAAGGTGATACAGCAGTTTGATAAAACAGCTGAGATATTGGTCTCAGCTCCAAACCTGACCGAATCCCAAAGAGATTTCCCAGCACCTCCCACTGACAGACGACAAAGCAGCCTCCACAAAGCATTTATGGAACGGGTGTCGCCATTCAAAAATATATCAAGCACTTTTAATGTATGCATGACAAGAAAAGTGCCAACTCATGCTTAATGTATTATGATATTACTAGAATGATGGTGTATCTATAGATATGATTTGCGATTATAGAATTGTTTTGGGCTTTTCTTGTTACTAAAATCAGCATGCTTTGGAAACAAATCTAGATATTAAGAAAAATAATATATTCTATATAACATACTGATATGGTATGCAATGAAATAAATATTTTCAGGCACATCAAAAAAAACAATCACCTATGTAAAAACAGCTTGAACTGAAGGAAACTGACACAACCCTTTTAAAGACTCATATTGGTACACATCCCTTTATTAAACTAATAAATGCCATAGCAGTCTGCTCCTCCATAGTGACATTAGTATGTGCCACTAGAACCTCACAAGTTATCTTTCATCTTGTTATGAATACAGTTCTGCATAATCCCATATGTAATCAAAGTTGTGTTTTTTTCAAACTACAAACACAAATGTTAGAGCCTAAATTATTAGAAAGTATAGTGGGCTGAAAAAAGAATAAATAAAAAACAAATCCTCAATGAACTTTTCTTGACACAAGACATTTAATACAGTTGTCCAAAAGGTTAATTCGCTGTGGAGAATCAACATTAAATGTTTATTTTTTTGTAATAATTCAAACTCAAATATAATCACTATTATTGCAATAAGGAGTATAGCATAAAGTGCCAGTATACTCTTATTTCATATATTATATTGCTGCAGATTTTGTTTCAGTTTCTTTCATCAAAAACTGAAGAAATGGGAAGATGTCCTTTGTATTGCACTGGGGAATGTTATCTATTCTCTGTGAACTCCTTCCTAAAAGAAATGGGATTGGCTCTTTACTGTTGTGATTGTGCAAGAAGAGGAGGTGACAAATTCCCCAAACCAGGTTATATACCCTATTGATATCAGTGTGTCACATGTGTAATTCACTTCTCTAAGCAAAACTCCCTCAGTAGAGTACAGGGCAGATCATATGGAGACCAACAGCAGAGAAGCACTTCAAGAAGACTATGATGCATTTGATATCTCTGATGAGCTTGGATTCATCCTAGAAGAGCCACTGGTATGTTCAGTTGTTCTCTTATTTCTTCTCACAAAGGATATCTGAAACAAGGATGCAATATGTTATGAAAAAACAAAACTAGACTGGATATTCTCTATTTGCTTACCACTGAGGACTATTTCCTCTTATCCATCTATTGCCTTTGTTAAAGTATTTTGTGTACAGCACAACTATTCCCTCTGGTCTGGGACTCATAATGTTTGTTTCTAAGTAAGATTATAAGGGACAATTGATCTGGAGAAGGTCTGTTTCTTCTTTAGCCAACCATGACCAATATTTGTTTTACCAATATAATGGCTAATTTGGATATACTTGCTTAACTCACTTCTTCTTATCTAAGGATATACCAGGAATAAATAGTATATAATCAAAAGATCAGTCGACAGTCTAGAGAATTGTAAACGTTGCAAGACGTACATATCAGTCAGTATGGATGTTCATTCTGTGTGACTGGCGAAGCCACACTATAGTATTCAACATACTTATTAGTGCAAATGTTGTTCAACAGTATTCCACTATTGTTCACCAACACACTTATTCGGTTTCTGTAGCTAAAAGCAGCTATTAGGCCATTCCCTGTTTTCTGCTTGGTTATTTTTTTTTCCAGTTTTCTACTGGCTCCCGTTTAAATTGCTTTCTCTGTCTGATTGAAAGCACTAGGCATTCCCTGACATGCAGTTCAGAAATACAAGAGCTGATGATGTTACTGATTACACTCTACATGAAAATCCCCATTGCAAAGAAACATTTTAAAACATCAAAAGTCATTTTATTGTTATTATCCTTCAGAATCACCTTCCAGATCACTATCAGGTGTGGTTGGACCTGGCAAATAATCTCACACATCTGATAAAGTCACGTAAACTACGGGATCTGGTTCACAAGGTGAGAATTGGCAAAGCCTTTTTAATGCAACTCCGCAGTAAAACCATTCATGTAAATGTGAAACCTACAGTTTCATTTGTGAACTCTCTTCACTGTTAAAGATGGGGTAGGTAATTTTGGAGAAACCAGCTCGAGTGCGCTAAAATTTGAAAATACACAACCGGTAAAAAATCTGCCACTTCCTTACAGAGTTCCTCCTCCAACACACACGAACGCGCACATGACCAATGAGGGCATGAGATAAGTTTGTGCATAGATGGAAGCTTGACAGGCAGACCTGCCTGTCAGCCTTCTATTTATAAAAAAAAAATAACTGGATGGCCTACCTGTAGGTAGGCTTCCACAGATGAAATTTTTTTAATGGATTTTTTGTCAAAGCACTTAAGATATTCATTGCTATTGGGATGTTAAGAGCATTCCATGGAATATAACAAAAAGTGTATCTCGAGCCGGTTTCTCAAACGTACCTACCCCACCTTTGATGAAAACGGAAGTAAAGAAACAGACAATGTGATCACAATCCAGATGCCGGTGTTGAGTCCCAATCTCCTGAGCAACCATCGAGAGCTCAGGCTGGCTCACCTAGCGCTGGGATTTATCAGCATGGGATATGTATGGCAGGAAGGACAACAATCACCTGCTCAGGTAAAACACTAAATTGCAAAGGAATCAGGGATGGTTCAGAGAAGATGCACTAATCCCTGACATCAACATGCTAACAAGCTAATGTTAGGATAGTAGAATGTTGTGCCCACCATCTACATTTAGCTTGTTTGTATGTTATGGTTAATCAGTACTGAACCAAAAGTGTGGCTAATGGGAATGTCATTCGTTTTGCAGGTATTTGGTTTTAAGGCAAATTCATTTTAACAATTTTGATGGGGCTATATGGTCAGGTTAATCTCATTAGAAAACATCATCCGTAATCAGGAGTTTCTGTTCTAAATATTGGTCTAATCCATTGAGTAGTTGCCAAGAGTACAAGTTCAAGCTTTTACCATGAAGTGGCATGAAAAGAAATGTCAGGGGACTATTCAAAGTCACTAGGATTCATCCACTTGGCACCAAAGTATCATGGCATCCATCCTTTAGTTAAGATGTTTCAGCCTGGTTCAAAGTGGTTTACTGACCAACAGCCATTGCCTTCGCTATCTAAATACCCTTGGCATGGCTCAAAACCTTTACAATCTCACTAAGACATCACCAGATTGGGACTTTACTATTATTCTTGTTTGACAGATTCTTCCTAAAGCCCTGGCTTTGCCTTATTGGCTGGTATCTGATAGGCTCGGCCTTCCTGCCATCCTGACTTATGCAGATTCAGTTTTATGCAACTGGAAATTAAGGGATCCCACAGGGTGAGTATTTCTGTTTTATTGCCCTATTTAATGACTTGACTTCATGTCGCTATTCCACAGACACTATTTTATTATAATAGTAACATTACAATAAAACTGTACATATCTAATTTTCAATCACTCAAAGAGAAAAATAGCGAGGTATTTCTCTAACCACTGAATGCGCTTCTCTTTTCATTTTAGGGATATGGAAATTGGGTGAGTAGAAGGAAAACAGAAGTCACTATCACATTGTTTCAAATTGCTGAAGTAAAATTTGACCATGATTTTGGTGGTTTGGTACTCGTGATGTTCACGTCATAATATTTTCTAAACATCCTTTTCAAAAACAGGAACTTGGATTTGATATTTTCCTTTCCTGGCGGGGAGAGTTGCAGGGGATTTTTTATTGTATCTTTGTTGGTCGAGATGGCTGCAAGTTCAGGCATTACGGTTAGTTCTGACTGCTATAACACTTCCTCTTTTTTGTTAACTCTTTCAGAACCTCGGTCCAATGACGTCTGTCCATGTGTCCCCTTGTTTTTTAAGATACCATCGAATTCCTGTGTGTTTTTCACTTGTAGCTAATTGTTTTTAAAAACTCTAACCAGGGAGCTCTGGAGGTGATGCACGCCATGAACATCTCTGACCTCAGCAGCCTACAGAGAGGTCTCGTGAAAGTGACTCAGTCTTTGAAGAAGATGAAGGAAACCTTCAAACTTATGCACAGTAAATTTGAATTAACATAGAGCAATCTCAATTGAACCAATTAGCATGCTGTGCCTGTGATGAAGGTAGAGAAATTCAAGGTTATTACAATAAATGGAATTGTGCTCTTTTCAGATCATGTGGATCCAACTGCGTTTCATGGAACATTGAGAATTTTTGTCTCAGGGTGAGTTTAAGGTCTTTGACAATATGCTGCATGCTGAAGTTATTCATGTTCTCAACATTTATTTAATCTGGTGCTGATAAAATGATGAAATTCCCTTCTGCAGCAGAAGGGAATTTCAGAAGTTGCAAAAGTTGCAGAAGTTCTGCTTCTACCTTCCTTTTGTACTTGTCTCTATTGCTGCACTATATGTTTAACTGAATAAGGTGAAATGGTATTGTGTTCTTCTTATTTGCACAAAAAGGATGTTTATGTATGTGGTTTGACCTGTTTAAGGTGGCGAGACAACCCCATGCTTCCAAGGGGGCTGTTGTATGAAGGTGTGAGCAATGAGCCAATTTTGTTATCAGGCGGAAGTGCAGCCCAGAGTTCAGCCCTTCAGTGCTTTGATGCGTTGCTCTGCATCCAGCATGAGGATGAGACAGGTAAAGATGCATTTCCCTCAACCTTTGACCCATCTGATGCTTCTCATGAATAAATCACGCTGTTTGTGCAGTCAGTTGATTGCTCCGACAGAAAGTGTTTCCAGGAAAGGTTCTAAGTCTCTTTTTCTGTCCTCATCATTGATTCGGTCTATCTAGGAGCCTTCCTGACACGCATGAGGGAGTACATGCCTCCCGCCCACCGTCGGCTGATTGAGACTCTGTCTGTCTGTCCATCTCTGCGAGACTTCATCCTGTCCCACCCCAGCTCCGATCTCTGCCAGGCCTTCAACTCCTGTATCTCAGCGCTAGTAGATTTAAGGAACTACCACCTCAAGACTGTGGCCAAGTACGTTATTTTGCCCGGTTCTCAGGCCATGGGCTGCCCGCTGAGAGGTGTTGGCACCGCGCTGAACACCACAGGGACCGGTGGATCCAGCTTCATGGTCTTCCTCAAGAGCACTCGTAATGCCACTCAAAAAGCATTGATCCAAGAGAGGCCATCTGCGTCAAGAGAAACTGAAATATGATTTACACTACAGTATTAATTATAATATGCACATTATCCAACACCTTTTTATACACAATGCTCTTGTTGTTCTATTTATAAATGGAATAAAAGTACATGCTGTTTTTTTAACCTCCAGTGGTTTATCTTTGCGATGTGGATGTGTACTCCAGGGTGTCAGTGCACTGTGACATCACTGTTGGGTGTGGCCTAAACAGACTCCATATTTGCCATATTTCGTAGGCCACTTCTGCCATGCAGGTTTAAACAAAAAAAATCTAAAACATCATGAAATAAAAATATGGTAAACCAAAATGATGCTTAATCACAATTGACAGAATGTAGATTTGTTTTATCCCAAACTACAGCTTCTTATGTATTCTTGGCTTCCATATAATATAGTCCTCGATATTAATGAATAAACTTCACTGTACTTGACATCATATTTCATATGATCATGTAATATCCTTGTTAAAACTTTTACAGACAATGCTACAAAGTGGATCTACATCTAGGGATGGATTAAATTTATTCTTTTTATCTGTTTTTGTTAAATAATGTATAATTTTCAGTACCTCGAATCTGTACACCCTTGAATCTTCATACTATTTTTCAGAGAAATGATTTGAATGTTGAAATAATGTAATAATAAATAAACATTTTCATATCAGTTTCTTTGACAATGCTCAATCATGTTTTACCCATTTTAAAACTATTATCATATGGAACTACATAGGAAAATAGAAAATAGGTAATCCCACATGCTTGAGATTAAGAGGCAGATGGCAGAGGAAGGAGAGAAATGTAGAGAGAACAAAAGGCTGTGGTATAGAGGAAGAAAGTGCTGTAGGAATGATGGAGGACACTGGTAAAATAAAAGCTAAAGAGAATCAGCTGAGGAGAATGAAAGAGACAGACACTGTACGGTGGATCAGGGGGTGAGAGGGATGGATGTGGGATCAGGTCACTCAGATTGATGGCCTGGAACCCGTCTCGCCTCCTGGTCTTGACTCTTCTTGCGATTGAGCACTAATCACATTAGAAGGGAGAAGAAGGAGCTCAACCACAATACAGCTGCTGAGCCCTGGTCATGGTCCAACTCTGCCTCACAAAAGATGTCAAATGTGGACTGTCAGACAGCGGCTGAATGCAGCTCTGGCACACCTATTCCTGGTGTAGTTGTCTGCAGTCACAAAGAGTTTCTGGCTCCGGTCTTTTTCTCATTTTGAATTCACATTTCAAATTTGACCCTCAATGATACTGTTGATGTTAAGTGATATAATACGTTTACAAGATGGGTAGTGCTTTGGCTAATGGTTTGAATAAATTAAACTGTGATTCTGGCATATATTATGTTGTCACATCGCATAACTTTGGCATGCGGACAGCTCTCCAGTAAATACTACGATACCCATGAGCCTCAGCTGCTGTTGCTATGGAGAAGAATCCAAGAGGTGCAAATCAGCGCGTTGAAGAATTCAAAATGCCCTTTGATCACACTGTAGTTCTTAACAAAGGGCAGCGCCATAGCCTCTAAACCAAACCAACATGAAAACAAACACTAAAATTAGTCAGGCGTTAATGGCAGATTTCTTTTTTCATTTATTGCACATCAAATTATTTTTAAACTGAAGTGATGAATGTTTTGAGTCCTAGCTACCTTTTCTCCTGATCCTCCATACAAGCTTGTATTATTTTATTTTTTAACACTGCTGTTAATCTTTTTGTACTGATGAGTCAAGGAGGAGAGTTCATGCCAATACAAATGTAGAAGTGCTACAAATGTGAGTCACGTAACATCGATTATGAAAAAATGAATGAAAAGGACTTGATCTCCCAAAATAGCTCCTCACTTAGTAACTCTATTGCCTTTAGCTGTCATAGACATAGGAGCACACTGATGCACTTTCAGTTGAAAATGTTTTAATCGAGATGTAGAAACAGTAGAAAAATGCATATTATTTCACATAATAACTAAATTGCACTTTCTCAAGGTACAGATCTTTGCATGGAAATTGGTGACCTGAATGCTGCAATCTACTGCGTGGTCTAACGATGGGAGGCCAGTATGAGTCTTCCTGACATTTCTCCGACATTAAACAGTACCAGCATCTACATAAGAGCTGCTGTTATAAAATCACTTTAAGACTTCAGTAAATACCTGCTTTGTTCGGTACCATTGCTACATCATCACTGTTTTTTTTTGTACTTTACCAAAGCTGGTGGCTACATGTCTTTTCTGCTGTAAGATTGCTACCATACTCCATTCGCACTGTATAGCCCTTCTACTCTTGCAAGTTCAGTGCGCAGTTGTTTGTGTGGGTTGTTAAACAGATGTTTTGTGTTTTGTAATGGTGTTCTGCAAATTAAAAAAGAAAAAAACCGTTCTATTTCACAAGATGGAATGGCAAAATAAATTATTTGTACAAAACACACTTCAAGTGTAAGCCAACTGGGCATGAAACAAATTGCTCAGAAGTAGATTCGGTTCAAGACGTCACATCAGAGCTTTACTGTGACCCAATGAATGACTGATAGGCAAGGCAAACTCTTAGCAGACTTATATAGATATGTCAAAATAGCCTTTACTTTTTGTTTGAAATTCAAGAATAAACTCCAAAAAACCCAGACACTTTCTCAGATATAATAGAAAATATTCTGCCTTGGAATTAGTCAAAACATTATATATGTTTGTAAAAATGTGACCTAACCCAAGATATTTTTTTCAACAATTTGACCTGCTTCAAGAGCAGGCACTCATACATTTTAAAATGTCACAATACTTTGCTAAAAACAAGCAGATATTCTAAAATAGATTCTGATCATTATGTGTCAGTGTAGCCAGCAGAAAAGGACGGGATGACTGAGGCAAAGTTGGCTGGCTAGTTGTTTAGTTGCACAGTGAGCTAAATGGAGAGAAAGATAGAAAGGCAGAGAAAGATAAAGGGACATAGATTGAAAGAGAGGGAGGAAACAGGGGTTATTAACAAATGCAGGCAGACATTCAGTTGGACAGACAAACTGAGCAAGAGAAAAGGAGGAAGAGGAGAGAAGAGACAGGGTAATAAGAACAGCGCTGACACACTACCATGTACTGAACGGTATTTCAGTCTTTGACGCATTTCCTTCTCAATAGTCAAATGTTTGTGCTTTGCCGTAGGTGGGGCTGATGTCCATTCAAAAGGTTATAGCTTCACTTAAAAAAGGCCCTCCACATGGCGCCTCCTCTTGTGGCCAAGCAATATGCTCTAAAGGAATAAGATCAAAAGTGCATTGCATTGGAGAAGGCAATAAAAAGTTGCGTATTTAAAGTGAGAGGTGCAGTATTGAAATAACATCCAACTTTACACAGCTAAGAAACATATATGTATCCCAAAGCTCACCTAGTTGTTTGCAGGTGTGTGTCCATCGTCTTCAGCGAACAAGCCAGGAATAGGTTTGGCAGACCTTAAATTGTTATTTGTCTCTGCTGTCCCCTTGCTGACATAATGTGCAGTCTCAAATTAGATCCCCAAATGAACTGGCTTCTGTCCTTATGCATCCTCATGTGTTGATTATTCCCTCTGAATATTCCCTCATCCCTTTAGAGAACAACAGGGGTATTAATGTGCCCAACAAAAAGGCTGTTTCCAAAGCCTTCATGTATTATTCAAAGGAACCAAAGTTTCCAACGAGAATGCTTTTTGGACTCTGTCTTGGACTTGCGCTTGGGGGTGGATGTGAACACTTCATTGGAGTAAGGCAGAGCGGGGCATTGTTGGCTATCCAGAGGGTAAAGTCTCTTAATCAGGGGCTGTATTTTATCCTCCTGCAGCTTAAAGTCCAGCTCCACACTGTAACACAAGCAAAACAGGGAGAATTTTAGTACATATATGTACATTATTCAGTTTAAAATTGAACTTTAAATGTGAGGATTTCATGGTGTATATATCTTGATTGCCAGTAAAAAGTTCTCAAAGTAGGCGATTTATCTTTTCGGTAGTGTTAACACTCACGAGTCAATTCTTTTAATACTGGTAATCCACTGATGTCCAGATGGAGGCTGGGAGGGAGGCAAACAGTTCAAATGCACTGACAGACACCCTGGCAGCACACATGTCTTGCGGCACAGATCTACATTTCACAGACTCCTCCGAGTAATAGAGTTCCTTTGCATCCTCCTGGTTTCTTTCTTTCATGCATGCAGTCAAAGGGCTTTTCCCGCACAGATTATATTTGTATTAAAAAAAAGCCAAATGTGGGTTGCTCCTGACATCAGACGTTCACATCCGCAAGTGTAATCCCAGGCTGGTCATTGTATGATTTTGTTCCGCCACCTTAGTTGAACTCTCTCCCCGATTAAATCTCTCAGGCCTGGGAGAAATGTGAGGCTTAATCCTTTCCAAATGAAACCATTGAGAGGCCAAGCAGATCCTGATTAACTGCCTGTGTTCAAGCTAGGGATAAATGCAATATTATACACCATCTCCTTTCACTTTATTACTATTGATTTGTAGTGCTCTGTTAATGTATTTATTCCTGGGGTATGCAATAAATATTTGAGAGCATCCGAATGCTACTAAAAGAGAATGAATGATCTGCTTTGTGCATGCAACAGTGACACTCATCCTCACCTCAAAAATCAAATGTTGCTTTTTGGCATTTTTATTCATCCTCTCTTTTCCTTTTTTTTTAAATTTTTTTTTTTTTAATATTAACCATTACTCAGGGCACTGTTTTTAAGAAGCACAGTGAATACTACTGCTTACAGCTTATTCTTGTCATTCAAAGTCTGGAGGATTAAAGGTGGAAGGGAGAACTGAAGCTGCCGAAAGAGATGACATCTGACATGTCAAGGTCAAGCATGAAGTCCTCTTCTTGTCTGCAGGCACACAAGTACACGTTAAAGTACTAAGCTTTGTATGATAGGGTGAGGGCTTTGATGGGCAATGTAATTAGTTAGCTCAAGGATATGCTGTACTCAAAGTGACAAAATGAATCCTGGGAACTGTCCTCACCCTTAAGATAAGTGTCGGTTAACAAGAGAGCTCCAACAAAGCCTTCAGGGGAGAAACTGGATGGAGCACTGCATAGATGTTTGGAAGGCTTTGACTTTTAATGAATCAAAGTCAGGATCAAATGTACAAGAGCCTGCGTGGGTTTGTGCATTTATATTATAAATATGTTTAGTTGCACCACAACAAAACCTGTTTTTGCAAACTGCTTCCTTTCTTTTTCTTATGTACGGTTTCCTTTTCATACTTCTATTCAAATCCAACACTTGAATCCTTGACAATGAGAAGGTCTTCGTCCTGACAACATTTCTGTTTCTTGCAGTATGTGATGCAACCGTTTTACAACTTTGACTTATACATATTATCCATTGGTTAATTTAAAAGTGTCTATTTCCACCTGGGTGAAAATAGCTACACCACAAATAGCATTGTTGACTACATCACCCGGGTGTAAATAGCATTGTTGACTATAGTTACCCGGGTGTAAATAGCATTGTTGTCTATAGTCACCCGGGTTTAAATAGCATTGTTGTCTATAGTCACCCGGGTTTAAATAGCATTGTTGTCTACAGTCGCCTGGGTGTAAATAGCATTGTTGACTATAGTCACCCGGGTGTAAATAGCATTGTTGACTATAGTCACCCGGGTGTAAATAGCATTGTTGACTATAGTCACCCGGGTGTAAATAGCATTGTTGACTATAGTCACCCGGGTGTAAATAGCATTGTTGACTATAGCACCTGGGTGTAAATAGCATTGTTGACTATAGTCACCCTGGTGTAAATAGCATTGTTGTCTATAGTTACCCGGGTGTAAATATAATTTTTGACTATAGTCATCCGGGTGTAAATAGCATTGTTGACTACAGTCACCCGGGTGTAAATAGCATTGTTGACTATAGTCACCGGGTGTAAATAGCATTGTTGACTACAGACACCCGGGTGTAAATAGCATTGTTGACTATAGTCACCTGGGTGCATTACATGTCACTTGTTAGACGCTTTCATCCAAAGCAACTTACATACATTCAATACTGTGTGCAGTCCCCACAGAATAAGAGTATCTTGCCCAAGGACACAACGATATGCTGACTGCAGTTAGACTCAAACTTGCTCTCCTCGATCCGAAGACCAGCGCATGATCCCACTGAGCCACAACACAAATAGCATTGTTCACTAAACTCCCCCGGGTGCAAACAGCATCTGTCATTTAATTTCCTCCAGCTTCATCTCAATTTGTATCTTTTGTTGAAAAATGTGTCTTTGCAACTGCTGTTTAAAGAATGTTGACTTGACAGAAAGCAGACCAGGATCACAGTGTGAATAGCCTCAGCAATTATTAAGCAATAAATCAGTTGGCATATCACTGCAATTACTATACGCCGTGGACAAATGCCTCGGTGGGAAGCCGGAGGCAGCAATGGTTGATGTGGGTGGCTCTGGGGAGCAGGTGCTGCAGCAAACAAAAGCCCTATATCTAAGATCATCTCTCTACACAAACAGATTGAAGCGGCTGGAGACGGGGGGGATTTTCTTTGGCCTTTAGCAAAGCAGATTAATCATCTCTTTAGCTATGCATTGTGAGTAGCTGTTGCTGATCAGTGGCGAGCCGTTTGTTTGTCTGTGGTCGTGGTGTGCTGAGCACCGTTCAATGATTGTAGCTCCTGGGAGGGATTGTGCTGCTGTGATGAGTCTTTTTAGCACAGCATACTCTATTCATTCAGCAGTGTATACCTGCACAGCCTCTGTTCTCTCTCCGCTGCTGCCAACCTTTCAGCGTAAAGTCATTTCCCCTCTCTTGATATCCCCTTTGGCCACTCAAAGTTCAAACCCTTCGCTTGACAAGATGAGTGGTTCAGACCCAGTATAGTGTAACATCCTCAGAGCTACATGACAGGGCATAGTAGATTAAATCACTGGAGACTGACAGTTATTTCCTCCAGACAGACAGGCAACAGTTGAAGCAGATACCTCCCACAGGTTATGGAAATCAGATGCTGGGATTCTTCAACAGTCATGTATCTCTCTTTTCAGCCATCGCTGTTGTCTATTACATAGCTTTCTGCTTCACAGAGGCTCAAAGAAAAACCCGATCTCATTAATGAGAACAAAACAGAATAAGCAATCTTGACAATTGTTCACCAAAACAACCACGGCTCCTCCATCGCAGCGTGGGATACAAGTGCTAATTGGCTCATCATATTGCTTTGCAGTTGCCTTTCCCTGAACTTAATTCTTTTTCAAAGTCATTGTTACTTACAAATTGGAAACAACTACAGAGTGTACTTTGATTCCAGTGCTGGTTCTTATTCAACGCAGCATGATGGGGATAAAATGCTTTAATGCTTTGATCGGATTTTGTTTGTAACACTGGGTTTGTATTCTATGTTGACTCAGTGGTGGGACACACATAATATGCAACGGATGCTCTTAGAAATCTTGTTTGATATACAGAAGTAGATAACAAGGGACTATTAAGAGCAGTTTCCACCTTGTTTTTGTTCATTAAGTATACTACAACCACTATTTATCTTTTAAAAACCTTCCTCTAGCAATATTGGTGTATCAGTGCATCAGATTTGATCACAATGTGGTCCAACCAATTATCATTTATTTACATTTTCCAAGTAAGAAGTTAACTTTTGATTGTACATTCAATGATAAAATGCTAAATATGATAACTTCCTTACTTAGATGGTAAAAACAATACTAGCTAATCATCAAAATAAACAAATGAATGTCAACGGAAAAAAACAAATGGAAAAATATACACAAAAGAATTCAACATTTGAAAAGATTGTATGTGGAGGATCATAATTCTCTAATCTTTAAGATATACCAAATTAGAAAGAATTTTGAGCAGATGGCAAACCCCAGTCGTTCATTTTGTTCATTAAAAGCTAGAAGCATCTGAAAATGGTATCAATCTTAATAAAGATCCACTTATCTTACTACTTGGAAGAAAAAGCCAGTGGGGATCAAGAAGAAGATGTTAGTTTATTTCTAGTAATATGGGTAGCAAAAATGTAGCAAATTACAAGCTATTGGTTAAAAGAAAACTGTTATGTTGAAATTGAAGGACTTGTGAAAAATATATTTGAATAAAATCCCATAAAAAGAAGAAAACAACTTAATGTAGTTAAAGACAGATGGGGAATTCACAACATAGCATTCACAACATTCTACTCTAAGAAGAGGTTGTTATGTGCTCTGTGAGTAAAGTATACCATACTATTATTTTTAAATGTATTACAAAAAAAAACAAATGTGACAAACACGCGTTTTTAATTTGCTACCACTTTTTTTTATATCCCTAGCTTGCCTATTTCCCATTGCACTGGCAGCTGAGGCTCATGGGTAATAATATTGTGTCCAGTTCGCCATCCCAAAATATGGGCAAAACATGCATTCTCTGTTATTTTTTGTTAAATGGGTGAAAGGACCCTTTTTGACATACCTTTTCTCCTGATGTGATAGACAGTAAAACTATAGTTATTTCCTTAAATGATCATCCATACAGTCTTTCCATTCCTCCCTTTTACTCGCCATATGCCCTATTTGTTGCAGTGATGTATGAGATGCTGCAGTATATCGAGGGTGGGTGGAGACTGTCGGGGGGGAGCTGAAGTATGGATGAGACCTGCTGATACCTGAGCTCAGCAAATGCTCAAGTCCTGAATTTATTCAACACACTGGAGGTTGTGGACTGCTCTAAAATTAAGGGCTACATCTCAGGGGAGTCAACCTCAGTTAGAGTTGCACCATGCAGTTCCAGTCTAACCATTAGAGGCACTAACTTTTCCAAGCCCTATTTCAATTTTCCTAATGTGATTTCTGCTGGCCGTTCAGCAGGTTAATCCACTGTGATAATAGACTATTATAATAACAGGGATGCTGGTAATGAGGTGAGGCTATTCTGACATCAAGAGCTGAGATAAACAATAAATACATGCTTTTATTTTTCCTGTGTACAAATATAATTCAATCTTGGAAGGTTTGTGCAGCTGAAGAATAATAAACAGCGCTATTTGCAGAATTTAAGATATTTATGACAACTGCCTTGGCAAAGACACAGAGCACCATGATGGAGCACTACACTGCTGCCAGCTAAGGTTCTGCTCTACTCCATGACTTAAAATCTAATCGGGTGATCGGAAATAAACAGCGTTTAATGATACAGACCGCAGAAGAAATAATAATCTTCCACTTTATTAGTACTCCGCAAAGTATGCCTTTAATATGATTGTATTACCGTACATGCTTTGGTTTAGTGTCAACAGACTGAGGGGCGCGTCTTTGCCATCAGAAATTGTTGGTAGTTTGTTCTGCCTCACCGACATAGGATAGGAGCAGTCAGGGGAAAAAAGAGAATATCAGCTGAAGGCTTTAGGAGTTTTCTTTGCTCCTCTACGTAGGGGTATTATTGTTTTAGTCCGACACATTATGAGGCTTTTAAATCTATAGAGTTTTCTTCTTAGTTAGAGGAATCCTAAATGCATTCTCTCGCCACAAACAATATTAACCACAATAAGTCCAGTCAAATCATATCCTATGACATTTATCGAAATAGTTATACATATTCTTACATAGCCGCTCTGCCTTAACCCCAAGATTGAAACCCTCACTTACTTACAGTAATGATATTGCACCGATAATAATAGGGAATACAAATAGAAACAAACAGACTCACTGCAGTAATGTTTAAAAAAAGAAAAAGTAAGCCAATCAACACAGGATAAGACAGGTTTTAAAAAAAAGAGTAAATGTGTTCACATCTGCTTTGTCACATCTGTGACATGCAGTATGCATGAATCATGAAAATATGAGGATCTATAAATTACAAAGATTAAAATAATCTGCTGTCAGAGTAATCATACCATTTGTTTGGCATGAATGAGACATTTCTTTTTATAACGCTAAGCATGGCCTTATTTACTTCAACATCTTGGGAAGTGGTATGAACAGCTGGGTGAAGGAGTAGGTTGAAGGTGAACAGCTTTATCCTATTTAAGTGAACTCCATCCGTCTCGAAAACATCATTTAGTCCCACATGTCTTTAAAGATAGGTAAGCAGACAAGACTTGAAGGATTTTTTTGTGAGGTCAGACACCAGGTCCTCAGGAGAGTAGCTATTCTTCCTCCCGACACCTGCCAGTGTCTCTTATAGAAAATCAGATTCAGATCCAATAATATCTTGTTTTGCCCAGAAGTGTCGAGTTTCTCTTATTTCTTCACATTGGACTGATTCAGGTTTAAATCTGTGCTCTCAGTTCGCTGGTGATAGTATCTGTCGTTCTGCAGCCCTCTGTCTGTTATACTGTGGCGTTTTTGGAGAGATATCACAGGAACGCATTTTGTTTCTATTTTTGACTCTACCTGGAGCAACAACAGACCAAATATCCTGGTTTGTTGCAGCAGGAGAAGAACATCAAATATTGTTTAGTCATGCTCCTTAGGCGAGTCGGCGGCTCATTGGTCAGTTTGGGTGTTAACATCTAGTTAGTGTTCAAACGTGTGAAGACTAGTGTGAGGTGCATTGTAAGGTTACAATTGTTGCTCCAAGTTGTTTTTTTATCCTTAACATAATTAATAAGCTTTGGGTCCTACATTTAAAATGAAAAAAAAGTAATGGTGTAAATGGACCAACAAATATAAGGAATATTACACCAGTTGTCGTCTACAAAAATGTTGCAGCAAACAAAAACAAGGACAAAGTACCATATCAATCACATTTGATCAGCTCTACACTGGCTCCCAGTAAAGTCCAGAATCAAATTTAAAACTCAACTACAAAGCACTAAATGGAAAGGCACCATTATACCTAAAGTATATTTTAATCCCCTATTGACTCTCTAGGTCTTTTGGTAACTCCCGGAAAACCAGAGCAGGAGTCAGAGCTCCGGAAACAACTATGTGCAACAAATTAAAGAGCTTGTTGAAGACTTTCTTTTTTTAATAAAGCCTATAGGCTACTTATAGAGAGCTGGTTTTAAATGTCCCTATGTGTGTCCTCCTTAGTCCTACACCTTATGGTATTTTATTTTATTGTTTTTACTGACTTTTCTTTGTACTTTCTCGTTTTAATCTGTTTTGTGATATTGGGAAATACAAATAAACTTTGATTTGATCTGAACAGACAAAAATAAAGAATGGTTCGACATGAATTAAGATACCAAAAAAGTGCCTTGCGAGTGAGGAGCAGATGACTGAGATGGGGGGAGGTTAAGTAGACGTGACAGTTATGGAGATGGACGAGGAAATACATTTCATTATAGATGGATTTTAGAGTGCCGGGTGCAACAGAGGAGGTTCCCCTGGACAGCACCTTTTATGAAACCCTGCAGCATCTTTTGGAGTATAAACATTTTTGGGTAAAATATATTTTCTTTGCTTGCTTATTAGCTTCTAGCCCCAACATGTTGGATATGAGGCGTTATCATTTCAGAATAAAAAAAGTCAGATAATACACAAATTGTCATGCTACACTTGTATAGGAAGGAACAAATCTGTGAAGGGCAATCATTCATTACCCCCTGTATCTGATATGAAATAGCGAGCCTGTTTCAAGGTCATATATAGTGTCTAGGTCAGCTTGAAACAATGCACTTGTCAAGGGAAAACAGAGATGAGGATCCTTGTAGAAAATGCAGCATAAAGTTGAAACCTTAAAGAACATTTTTCTTTCTTTGGGAGAAATGTCCATGAGTATGTGTCCAAATTAGTTTATAACAATAACTGTGTTTTAAATATCTGAAATTAATCAATAAGAATCCAAAAGAAACACAATCTCCATTTTGTAGAAACAGAAAGAGAAGCATAAAGCAGAAGTTTGCATGTTAGCATGTATCATATTTAGAAAGAAAGGAAAGTTTACATCAATGATTTTGTGCTTTTTGAGCTACTTTCACTTATGCCCATTCGAAACCCAACCCCAAAGGTCCAACAGTAGAGAGTGAAGTGTCTGGTGGGCATTTTCCAAGCAGCTGTCAGTTTCCTGTTTTAGAGAACAGGGTAACAAGTGGGTCCAGCAGAAGAGGTTTCTGGAGTGAAGTGACAACTAAATTAAGGGTACCGTTTGAGTGGATTCCCGCTTCTGAGCCTTTTTCCAGCTCGTCACACAGAGCACTTACACCACACAAAACCGCGGCTATACTGTGTATTTTTTTTCAAATCAAAAGAGTTAATGCATCATTTGTTCTTCAAAAGAGAATAGCGTTTTATGAAATGCAAGGTCCTCATATACTGTGCAACAGGGCCCACTGTATTTTCATACCCTATCTAATTCACTTTCCACTGCTGTGTATGATAACTGATTTATTACAGAGAGGCCATACATTCCCCAGAAACCTTCGCAAATGATAATGGAGGTATTATCTATTTCATCTACCATTGTAGAAAAACACGCGATGGTGCAGTACAGCACTGCCAGTAGCTGCACATTTAAATATTTTCATAGCCCTGATGCTTATTTTATCATTTAATACTACACCCAAAAGCTTTTATTTGCATCTATTCAATTGATTAAACCGTCTTGCCTCTGACTGTCAGATCCAGATACTACATATCCTTACACATTTTCTAAACAGAACACCAAATACTCCTGGAAGCATCCCTCTTTCACACTGAATCACATAATCAAACAGAAAACATAATTGATTGCAGCATTAATGAAACACTGGCAGTTCAAAAGGGCCCACCTGTAAATGATGCATGCGCTGTTTCGACAAGTGTCACAATTTGCTGTGTCTTGTCCTGTTCGGTAGGTGAGCCTGTAAACAGAGAGAGGAAAAGATATATGTGATCTCAAGTGACAGGCTTTAGCATTCATATTTCACCACCTTTGGGCATCAGGTATCACACATCATTTGTTCAGCTTGGTTTTTAGACAGTGTTGTTTACTCCTAACAGTCAAACATGCAGCAGGGGCTCTGATCTGATCCTGCAGTTCTCTCAGATTTGGTTAATCAAGTGTGTAGACTTAGTGATTTTACATAACAGGATTACTTAGCTTTGCCATGGCATAGTTATCAAATCTGTTCTGTGTCTATTTGCTGTGCAATAGGAAGAAAATAACAACTAAATGCTGCATGAATCATATGTAATGAGAAATCAATACCTTAACATAGCTTAACTATGCTGTATATCTTTTTTTATATTTTCCTCCAACTTAATTTGCTTAAGACATAAAACATAAGCGATTAAAAAAAGCAATCAAAAAGACAAATTGCACCTGCTCTGTTCATGGGATAGGTACACAGACCTGAGGGGGCCAGTGTCTTTTAATTTGTTCTGTTCAAAGACCTTCACAAAGGAACAACCTCTGCTATCTCACGACAGAGGTTTATGCATACATATGTCAAACGTGACGTGTTAAATACACAATGCCTTTGGTGTATCACTCCTCGTCTTTCATATCGCCAGTTTTTCATTTATCCTCATTTGAATTTACCATGCAAGTCTGTATCATGTTATGTGCACTATAAGTCACTGCATGCTAAGGCAGGCGGCAGTGGTGTAGGATGACATGTGGAGGTGTCACACCGCAACGGTTCACCCTGACATGAGAGGTGACCTCATCGGGGAGAGAGAGAACAGCGCGAGGATCGAGAACGCTGATGGGAGCTCAAGGTCAACAAGTTCATCCATCCTGCCCTGTTCCCAAATGATGTCTCTGAACAGCTGTGTGCAAGGACACTAACTCAGCGCAGTGACAGGGTCCACTGAGTGCTGCTGCTGCCGGCCGCTCATGTACAGCCTTGTAATTTAAAGAGCTTCTCTCTTATAATCAAAGGGTATTAACCTAAATTCATAATCACTGTGTGTACTCTGCACAAAAACACACTCCCATTATGGGTAAAATGCTCATGACCCAATAAAGAGCTGTGTTAAAAAGCACCCATTGTCACAGAGGAAGGTTTCATAGATGCGTAAAAAATAACTGGACCTCTGAGAACGGTCAAAACGGTCAGGTTTTTTTAAGCTGAATGTTTGTTGGCACAGAGTCACTATCTGTGTGGTTTGCCCATGTCAGCTGTCCTGGGATCTGCCCTGCCCTTGGCATTCCACTTTTACTGTCCACACCCCCCACTTTTGTGTCTGCTGCTCTGCCTGCCTGAACACTGCATAGCATTTTGCATTTTGATCGATAACCTGTGAGCAAGAACTCAGCAGGCCACACTGTCTCATGTGGTATGATGTGCTTCAAACATCGGGTTTGTCATTCTACATTAAAGACATGTTATGCATATATAGTATACATAGCAGACACAGCAGACAGTCGTTCTATGATGCAGCATAATGACACATGTTGCTTTATTGCATATGAATAACAGTACTATGGCAATTGTATTCAAACAGCATAAGATACTGTGTGCATGCATCACACATGGAAATAATATTGACATATGGACTGTTGTTATCATAAGAAACGAGGTCATGCCACAGAATAATAATCTTCTTTCACGTAAAAAAAACCAACAACAACATTGAATATGGAGGGTTATACAATGCATACTCTCTGGTCATGTTTTGTAACTGTATCCTCAATACCTAGAAATCAAGTGTCAGCTAACCACTTCCTGTTTGGTCTGGAAAACCTGATGAGATGATAAACAGATGACAAGCACATGCATTGTTCCTGTTTACAAGTCAACGGGGAGTATCTGTTTTATGCAATATTATTTTACTAAAGGAGATGTGAAACAGCTGTCGATCAAATGCTTCATTTTGAGTTCCTGTTGTACTTTTGCAGAACATTTTCTGTTTCATTTTATTGTCTCATGCGGCACATGGAGAAGTGGGATATTTTGTAATAATTTGTAATAGTTATTTCCAATGTAAACAGTAAAGTGAAGACAACATTGTGCATACACTCTTGCAGGACCTATAGGCTGCTTCTTGTCATTGCATACATTTGAAAGAATTGGCTTGAAAATCACTGTACATAACTTATTTATCCCAGGTGAGAACAGGGAGGCTTTTAGTTGGATTACTTTTAAAGTGTATCATTAAAACAGGCTATTTGACTGCCATGCAACAAAAGAAAGAGTATTTGGGAATGCATTGTGTAAGGCAGGCTTTGCATCCTGTAACTGCACCTCTCTAATAACACTTAAGCAACACAACACAGCGAAGGCTCTATAGCAGGCTCAGTTCTGTTGAGATGAAAGGCAAAGCGTTATGAGCCAGCACTAATTGAGCCTTCACAATCAACTTCCACAGAGCCACACTGGGGTGCCTTGTACTTCACTGGATATGGTTAAGGCTTAAATACAATTTGGTTTGTGTTGCTCTGAGTTTTTCTGGGACGGAGTACTTAGCATTGATTCCAATTGCACTGTCGTAGGAGTCTGGCTGTGGGAATGGCTCGAGGACTTTATGAAGCTCGTTACTGCGTTTTCTCCTTTACAGGTACGTCTTTAATGAAATATGACACATAAAGAAATAATAGAGAAAGCTTGCCCTTGGGTTAAGATTACACAGGAAGACAGTATTCCTGCATTGTGCTGTTTATTTGAAACGCTACATAAAGACTAGATGGTTGATCATCCACTAGCGCCACCAACAGATCGATTTTAATTGATTTATTCAGAGATATATATCAACAATAACTTTAGCACATTCTTTATGATTATATTCATAGTTCCAAGAGAATACGTTTGTGGGATCAAATCATGTTTCTATTAGCAGAAGCATGAGATGGACTTCTCTGGTTTGTTAAGAAAATATCTTAAAAATATTGAATGCACTAATGTACATTTAGGTAAAGACACTAAGTGTTTGCAGAGGACCTTTCCTCAAGCACCATCACAAGGCCAACATATCTGTTTATTCAATTATTTGGTTTGCCTTCAAATACATGCCCAGCATTCTCAGACCTCCTCTGTTCTTGGGTCTGAATAGCAAGTTATAGCATGCTGATATGCTAAACTTGATGGTTAACAATATACCTGCTAAACATCATCATGTTACAATGGTCATTATGAGAGCATGTTATCATGTTGATGTGAGCATTTGGGTCAAAGAACCACTGTGTCCAAGACATTGATAGCCCTTCACATCACACTGTGAAACATGCATATGTGTATAAAGTGTGTTTGGTTGCACTGAAAAGCTAAATCTACTCACCCTCCTCTCTGCGCTTCCCCTTTCTCCAGCTCCTGAATGACTCCAAGTAGCACCTTGATGGTCTCTTGGCTGGAGTTGATGAGGCTCTCCATCGCCTGCAGCTGCACTTTGATATCCTTGTCTTCAGATGAGGGCATTATCTGCTGGCTGCTCCGCATGCCTGGGGCTCGTGTGTCTCTTGGAGGAAAGCCCTCGTCCCCCCCAACTGTTTGCTGAAGTTTAGAGGAGGCTGATGCATGCCTGGTCCGACTATGCCCTTGTGACTGCACTGAACATTTGGCACTATGGGGAAGCGTCTGTGACTGCTGTTCGTTTAACTGTGTACCCTTTTTCCGTTTACAGCTCACAGACGGGCTTCCTAAAGACTCCACCTGTGTCAAAGAGTTCCACGCAACAGGGCCCGCGCCCCTCGACTTGTCCTGGGAAAACTCTGAGTAAGCAAGCTGGCGCTTTGAGGAAGTGCCAGCGTCCGTATCTTCTTTGGGTAATCCTTTGTGTTTGGTCCTTGTCCCACAACCCTGGTACTCTGTTTCTCTTTTTGAAGCAGGGCTACCCTGATGGCACTCTTCCGAGAAATGTGAAGAGACAGGACGAGAGGGTCCATCCAGACAGTTGGCACGCAAAAGCAAATCCTCTGTATCACTGCTGTCATCAGTGTGGTGAAGCAAAGCTTTAGTTTGCACCACAATCTTACCCTTGTACTTTGAGGAATCGCCAATGGGTTGTCCATCATCTGCTACTGTCTTTATATCGCTCAAGAAACCATTATTTTGTCCTTTATAATCTTCCACCAAAGCAGTATGTTTGAATGTATGTCCTTTTTTCCTCTCGAAAGGGAAAGTCTTGTATCGCTTATTGAGGTCCGGCGAAGTCTGGACCCCGGTGCTCTTGGTCACGTTTGGAATAGAGCGTCTGGCGGGCATGGTCATATACTTTCTCTGTATCACTTTGGAGGAAATGGATCTGGAGCGTTTTCCCCGAAACTCATTCTGGGCCTCACAGATATCCCTAAAGCGAACTTGTAAAGCCTTGTTTCTCTTCTTCACCTGTGGCTTGCCTGATTCTGGTCCGGACTGTGCATCAAGGCTTTGTGAAGGGCCTGTATCTGAATCGGAGTCATCTGAGTTTGAAAGAACAATGTAGTTGGCGTCTTCTTTGCTCACCATATTTTCTGAAAGAGGTAAAAGAAAAATATAATCAGTGTTTGTGTGTCCAACCATATTTAGTGGAGGAAATCAGAGAGGATCTAATCCCTTTAGTAAGGTACTGTAAAAACATGTTTCCTCTGAGACCATACATTTAAATCCTGGTAGTAAATTATAATCCTTAAAGACACAATATTTCATACAAATACATGTTCCACAATTCAGAACACATCATTTATTAATATACATGTTGAAATGTGACAAAAGTGAAAACATTTAAAAGCACTCAAGACTGAAGAAAGAAAATCAAAAAGTCAAACTTTCCAAATGTCACTACACTTTGGTGTTTTCTATGACTATATTAAATGCTTTTACTGGCATCCTCTGTGTTGACATAGAAACAAAGGACTCAATGTAACTAATCTTCAGTATAGGTTTATGATACGTCCACCTCTATTTCCAGCATTTTTTGCAACACGTAACATAAGCTAAAACTCTTTAATTGGACTCTTTTAATTGGATACCCAGCTCATTGGTTACTCCAAAACTTGCAACTGCTAGTTACAGTACGCACTATAGTTTTTCAAAAGCAAGCATGCCTGCCAAAAATTCTGATAATTTGTTTCTGCACACCTTTTTGGAATAACAATTTTGTGTGCTCCTTGCTCGTGTTGACACCTTTCAGAAACTCTATGCGTTGACTTGTGTCAGATGTCAGCCTCATTACACGCATTGAGCTTGAAGCACGTTTTTTCTTTAACTTGGGGGTGTTATGCTGTCAAGTTGCCATATCACTGATGTGTCTTATCGGGCTAAGTATTTGCCGGTTATCTTAACATATAGCAGCATATTTAATGTGAGTGCATGTCATTCAGGAGATGTTTGTATGCTTGACAATATCATTCAACTTTAGGAGTGCCAAAGCTGGCGGCTGCTGTTGCTGCTTTCTCGTAGGTGTGCTTGTGAATGCTATCTTTGAGTAGCAGGCCTTTTGTTTTTCATCTGGCATTTGTTTTACAAACGCATCGTGACACATTTATGTTATTGATTTATATAGTGGTAGAATAGCAATGCTCATGTTTCAGCATTAAGTGATTTGTGCTCAGTTGGATTTGTGGCCTATTTCCCACTCGGCTCCTATAATTTCTGGGGTTTCCTATTGTGTCACCGAAGGCTTAAGGGAGAACCGTGCACATGAGCTTCAGTGATTTAAACACACTGCAGCCCTTCCCTTGGCTTTATGAGAAACTCTTTTGTCACAAATACAGTTTATTTTCATTTGCATTTTACCCACACAGATCATATTCGGCTATACATTAGGAAACACTCGTACTCCAACAAATGGGTTTATATGACAGCTCGTTCTACTGTTCTTCATATCATAATTACATCTAAACGTCTGAGCTCCAGTTCTGTTCTCTACACTGGTACACTCAGCCCTAATCATTGTCAATCTCAAGCTCCCTGTGTACTCACCCACTTAAGGTCATCTCCTTATCAATGCGACATAACATTTCACGAGATATATATTTGATGCATTCTTCTGCACTTAGATTGCTTGATAGTATGTTCCCCACAATGGTTAAGGGTGTTTTTCTTTTAAGGAATAGCTGTGGGGCAGTTGGCTCACTATTAATAGGTGTTTGGTAAATAATATATTCCCCTTGTGGTCTAAAGTAGCTGGCAGAGGAAATGACTAAACAGCAGCCCATATGTGCAGCACCTGGATCCCCCTTTCGGCTCTGAGTCTAAACTCATAGGGAGGAAATGTATTATCTTCACTTCAAAATCTGCGTTGCTTAATTAATGGCTTGGAAGGACTTGGACATATCTGTAAATGAGTTTTCACTTGAGTGTAGAAGGGTTGAAGTCTCCAAAAGATATCTGCCTATACTGCTTAAGCCCATGGTTTACAATAACATGGGTTTGTAAAACAGTTTGATAGACATTTCAATCATTGTTTGAAGCCATTAAACCATAGTTGTTTATAGATCGGTAAATCAATACAAATGATAACTTCTTGTGCTTGAAAATGCAGCATTATGAAGAGTGAGAATCGATGTGCTTCTTTTAAAAGATGTATCTTCTTTCACCACTGTCATAGAGTACTAATGATCTACCAATCATTACCGAGTGAATATCTCATTTAATCAGTAAGTACTTTTTCACTTAAATTCATCATTATCAAAAAGATTCAATTAAGTTTTTCCAATATATTTTACATGTTTTAATGGGAAAGCTTGATTTACTTTGACTATGTAATAAATAAACGGCCTTTGATCAAACCAGGAGGCCAAAAACCTCTTTGATAATGCATAATAGAGCTCGCTGCTGTAGTCACTCCCCATGCAGAGTATCAAATTAAGGTCCATATGATCAAATGAGAAATATTGCATTTTCTGTCTCATCCTTGATGAAACACATTTCTCAGCTCGAGCATGAAATATATCAAGAAGCACAAGGAAATGAAATGATGTCTGATATGGTTGAAAGGAAACATCAGGAGGAGCTGGTTAATCATTTTCATATGACAAGACGCCACGCAATAAGTAAACTCAATGAATCATTTATTACCACACAAAAGCAAGATATACATGGTTTTGCAGCTTTTCTTAAAGTAATCATGTTTTATCATTGGGAGACGTTGCAAATCCATCAATGTGATTGTTCCAGTTGGGGAATTTATACTGACGAGACATTTCCTTACTGTTAGTTTAACGACTCCCATGAAATTAGTGAAAGGAGAAGCTAGATGAGATTAATGTTAATTTCTGATCTCCAGTCGATCAGCAGTTTCGAGTTCCAGTGACGTCCTAACCAAATAAATGATACGCACTTTTTAAGGATTGCAAAGCTATGCTATGTGACCCTGCATAGTCTCACACACACACACACACACACACACACACACACACACACACACACACACACACACAAAGCAACTAGTTCAGTGTCATTATGCACGGACAATATGGTGTGCTGTGTCATGCATTTACCCACAGTTGTTTTGAAATGTGGAGCAGCTGAATTTTATTCGGGGTGGTATTTGTTCTGAAACATAGCTTAGTATGCACTTTGATTTTAGCGTGAGATGTTTGTGAGAAGCATTTCCCATGGATAAAAGGGAATTTGTTTGAGGCTGATCCACATGTGATCATGCCATTTTACAGTCACATGTGGCAATCTAACCCTCCTGAAAAGGTAATCACATCTGCAGGAAGTCTCCTCTAAGCGCATACAATTTCAAATGCCGTCATGTAAAGCATGTAAAGCAGCTAAATGGAAATTCACACAATGTTAATCAAGAAAAGCAATGACTTATTATTGTTGGAAGTCAAATACACATACAGAATAACTGAGACAGTGACACATGAATATATTTGGATGGCTGAATGAGAATCTCCTTTGCATCGTCGTTCTCCTCCTCGTCCTCTTCTCAAAGCATGCTATATCTCTGCTAATGACCTGAGGTCCTTCCCTGATTTGGCCTCAGCTATCCAAAGGATTATGAATAATGCATTGACTCTAAAATTGCAAAAGTAATCCTCTCAAATCTCCTTATGTACCCTGGCAGAGCACGTTGTCTGTTCCAATTGCCCCTTCAGTTCTTCACGCTAAAATGCTGCATGTAAAGGAAAAGAACACCTCTCACTACAGTATCATGATCGATTCATTATGAGCACAATGTTGTAGAAACGTGGTTGTTTGTAAAGAATATTAATAGGGAAGTTGAATCCATTTTCCATGCCATAGCAAGACTACAACACTGCTGACTCATGATTTATGCCCCATCGCATAGCAAGGAGAAAGAGGCAGCTTTGCTTGGATCGCCTTACATCCCTGACAGCCCTCATCAACGCAATAATTACAGAAG